TGCAGGACAGAGGGCACGGGACAGCATGGATGAGAGGTTGAGCACCAGACAGACATGCCTGCCGCCATGAGTGAAAAGAGGTGCCGCAGACAAATGAAGCGTATTCCTAACATTTCACAGCCTGTTTGCGTCCCTGATAAACCCCACAGTTGAGAGTATTGTCTGGGAGTTCTTTGTGGCCGTTGTAACACATGATCAAACCCAGTAGAGAAACAGAGTGTCATGGGAGGACTGAGGGGTGTCAGATTAAGGTAAAGACGGTTGGAGGATGAAGGCCTATCTGGGGCTTGGAGTGACTAACTGCCCCATGTCTCCCTGCGAGTTTCTGGTAACTTGGCATTGCTATCCTTGGCATTGCTTTACACCTGCTTCCATCAACCCTGTGTCTGTGTGATTCACTTTTTATAAGATACCTCTCAGAAGGTTTTAGAGCCCACCTTACTCTGGCATGATGTAGCTTACTGATAACATCTGCAAACAAGAACCCTGTTTTAACAAAAATAAACAAGGCCATATTCACAGGTCCAGAGGCTAGCTCTTCAATGTAGCTTTTCTGGAGGGACACAGTGAACCCATATCACTCTGCATTCTGGCCCCCAAATATTCATGCCACAAAATAGTCACCCCATCAAACCAATCACAACCATCAATATATTAACCCCCTACCCACCAGGGGGATAAACAACAGAAACATGGAGGAAGGGAGGGAGTGAATGGTGTAAGGTATGAAAATAATAATAATTTATAATTTACCAAGGGGTCATGATGGTAGGAGGGTGGGGGAGGGAGGGGAAAAAGAGGAGCTGATACCATGAAAGAAAAGTTTTGAAAATGATGACAACATATGTACAAATATGCTTGATACAATCGACATAAGGACTCTTATTAGGACTGGAAGAGCCACCAATAAAATGATTTATTTTTTAAAAATCAGTCACCCCATTCTAGCAGCTTCCAAACCCTTAAACCATTTAAACACCCACTCCAAGTCCAAAATCTCATCTTCTGAATAATCTAAATCAAATGCAAGTAAGACTCTGAGTGTAACTACATCCTGTGGCAAAGTTCTCTGTCTGTACAACAGTGAACTCTAGCTTACAAGATACTTGCCTTCCAGGATACAATGGTGGTACAAACGTAGGCTAAACGTTTCTCTTCCAAAAAGGAAAAATTGGATGGGAAAAAATTGTCAGACCAAAAAAGTCTGAAACCCAGCAGCGCAGCATACATCGTTAGATCATAAAGCTTGAAAACCATTCTCTCGAAGTTCCCACTGCATACTGGCTCCAACCTCTGGACTCTGGCCATTGGCTCCACCCTCCAGATGCTGGGTACTGGCTTCTGTGCCCTGAGCATAGGTCCCACTCCCTCCACCTTGGGTGGAACTTTCCCCCCAGTCCACTGGCTCAGTGGCCCCACCTCCTTGAACTGAGATGATGACCCCCACCCTTTGAATTCTAGGTGATAGCTTCACCTGCTGAGGCCAAGGCAGTAGTGCGCTCGTACTTCCCACGTTCGTGTGGACAGTCCTGCTGGTCTCTGAATTGCTGCCAGGATCTTCCTTCCCTTTCCTTGGCTTGGACAACTGACCCTTGCAGTCAATTTGCTTATCATCGCCCCACTTCCTGCCTATCGAACTCCAGGAAGAAGGCAGTGCTCCTTCATACTCTCTCTCTCCCCTCTCTCCCCTTCAGTCTAAATTGGGAATGTTAACCCCCAAGATTAGGGCTTAGTCACCTTTCAAATCTGCAAATGAATTCACCCCTACAGCTTAATAATCATTCAAACAAGGGACAGCTCCATAAGGGGAGCAATGGCACCAAGGAGGTCTGCACGACTTAGAGTGCTCGCTTTGAGATCAAAGAACAGCATTTAACCAGGGCAAGTTCAGGAGGGTCAGGGGAAAAAGAGGAATGGAAACAGGAACAACAAGGGAGGAAGTGGGATAAGTGATGTTCCGTTGCAGAAATGACATAAAATGACTTTAAACGTTTCCCCCCCATTCACAATTAAAAATTAAAAATAAATAAATAAAATTGAGAGCGTTTCTGTTGTAGAGATTGACTTGATCCACGGTTCACTTAGCAAATGCTGCCAAGCAAAACCTTCAGTGACGTGTCCTTCCCAAAGCACGCTTTCTTAATTTTCACAAGAGAAGCTTGCCAATCTTCACATGCTGGTTAGTTTTTGCTTCTAGTTCATGCCTTAATTTGTCTTGTACATTTTGCATGTGACTACTGGCAGCAAGAAGCAATATTGTCCTTTGCACAGAATGCTCCTCATCCAAACATCCAATTTCATCGTTTATGAATTCTACTTTTCACAGAACATCCTACTGTAACTCAGCTAAGTTCCTTGCCACTTCACAATAAGGGTTTTTCCCTCCAGTCTGGTGACGTGCTGATCACTTCAAGGTCTCACAAGAAGAACATCTAATGCCCGTGTTTGTGGTGTCTGCTCATGGTACTAGAAGCTCTCTCCACCGCTCTCATTTGTCTGAGCCATCACCACACACACTCCTAATGCCCTGAGCAGCCTTCTCAAAGCAATCTCAGCGCTTACGATCAAGCACGTTCAAACCCTCCCAGGGAGAACCAATTGCAAGGATCAACATATATCACACCCCCACCACACCTGGGGGATGAACAACAGAAATATGGGTGAAGGGAGACAGTGGATGGTGTGAGATATGAGAATAATAATAATTTACCAAGGGATCATGAGGATGGGAGGGTGGGAGTGGGAGGGAAAATTGAGGAGCTGAGACTAAGGGCTCAAGTAGAAAGAAAATGTTTTGAAAATGATGATGGCAAATATGTACAAATGTGCTTGATACAATTGATGTATGGGTTGTAATGAGGGTTGTAAGAGCCCCTAATAAGATGACTTACATATTTTTTAAAAAGCTTCCAGTTTCTACTCATTATTCAGTACCACCCTTGAATCAGCAAGAGGGGTGTGCACGCTGAGTCTTGCACTTTTAAAAGGTCTCTGTCATTCCTTCAGATACTCAAGTGTCCATCTGGAGCCTGTACTACCCCTAGGCCAGTGGTTCTCAACCTGCCTCAGGCCGCGACCCTTTCATACAGTTCCTCATGTGGTGGTGACCCCAACCATAATCTTATTTTCATTGCTACTTCACCACTGTCATTTTGCTACTGTTATGAATCAGGCGACCCCCGTGAAAGGGTCGTTCACCCCCAAAGGGGGTCACAGCCCACAGGTTGAGAACCGCTGCCCTCGACATGCTTTCAGTACCTGGAACTTGAGTTCCTTGCCGTTACCTGAAGCTCTGGTATGAGCCTTCCTCTGGTTTGTATTCCTCAGGGCGGAGTGGCTTCTGGTCTGCCCGGTCCTAAACTTGACCGGTAGCCATCAGTGTTGTGGAGAGCTCTTACACCTGTGTTTGAGGCTGGCTCCGCTGTGCACTGAGCCTCAGACTGGGATGGTGATGACGGTGAGGGAGGGCTGGGTCTCCCGGCACAGTCCTGTTGTGGAGTGGCACTCAGGTGTTTGAGGGTTCTAAAGGTAAACCTGCCGGTTGAGGCCCTTATCAAGGGGCATTCCTCAAGATACAGGCCTACAATACATTTCATTTAGCCATTTCTTCGTGTATCTTACAAGGTTTCATTATGGATCATATGGAATGTGGACAGCATTTGTACAAGAGACACTCTCCTGTCTGTGCTGGATCGCTAAGGCAGGTCTGCTTTTATGTGTTTTATTTTAAAGTTTAATTGGATTTAAAACAGAAAAGGAAAAAAAATCTCATCTCTCACTCTCTTGTTCTCTGATATAAGGAAACTTTCATATAAAACCATCTAGAAGTACAGATATGAACAGCTTCGGTTTGTTACCTTCTTGGGGAGAGATTTTTCTGCGATTTAAGTTCTTTTCTATTTTCTGACAAGGAGCATGAGACCCGTGTGATTTTTCTAAAGTGAGGGAGGGGAACATGAATTTGGGCATACCTACTCAGAAAAAAATAATAACCCAAGTCAGGGAGATCAGTTTTATATGTGAAACACACTTTAGTTCTATTGCTATCACATGTATGTATCTCCAAGCGTTTTGTGTGTGTGTGTGTGTGTGTGTGTGTGTGAGAGAGAGAGAGAGAGAGAGAGAGAGAGAGAGAGAGAGAACACTACTAGGGCACAACTCTGTCTTCTAGCCAGATTGCTATTAAAATACCAAGATGGCTTTTATCAACCCTGGCACCAGACATGCTTTAGGCCAAATTGATTTCAGTAAGCACAGTGGTAAAGGGCACTCAACAAGCTGGGAAGACCTTCAGAGCATTGTTTCTCAAACCACAGGGTTATGACCCCACCCCCACCCCCGGGAAGAAGGAAACTGGAGCCAACTTGCTGGGTGCACCCACCCAGAGACTCCGCCAGCGTCTGGGGCCTGACAGAGCCATCCACAATGGCCCTTTCTCTGAATCATAACAAGAACTAATTGTGCACAATTGCTCACTAAATACTTCATGTCCATCATCTCAAATGATCCCCACCACAATATTGCCTACCTGGTCTGCAGGGCAGGTGTTTCCACTTTAGAGCTGAGAGGCCCAGAGAGGTTCCGCGGCTCAGGTGGGATCACAGCTAGGAAGCAGAGATGCTGGGCCTCAGTCCAGGGCTCCGACCCTCTGAGTTCACCCCATCAATGAATTCCCCATTCCATCATCTTTGTCTGCTCCTCCCTATCATCGTTTCTCTGTGCTTTTCTTGCACTGCCCTGAAAAATCCTGACAATGAGAACTTGGTTCTTTTTCTCCATCACGTCATCAAATTCCCACCACACTTCATCCCTCCATCCCTCCCGATTCTGACTTGCAGCCTAACCTCTGTGAGGCATGCGGGTAGCCCAAAACTGGGGGAAAGGGTGCTCTGCTGTGAAAGCACAGAGAACTACAACGTATCGGGGTCGTGGGCACAGCACCGACATTGTCAGCCTCCTGACGGGGGCACAGAAAAGGTTGTCAGCGTTTACTATCAAAACTAAGATAACCCTTCTCGTTCATTACGTCTACGGAACTTGTTCACTTTCCAAGCATCCTCTTGTTTGATCTTTGTAATATTCCAGTGTGCTGCGGATGCGGACGGGTTGCAGATAAGGCGAGTGGGGATCCGAGCGCTGGAGAGACTTCCGTGAGTCCTCCAGTAACAGTCTTCAAGAAGCACTTTCCTGTCTGTGAGGGGCATCGGGCCACACTCTAAAAACGTCAACGGTGCATGGGGAGTTCCTTAACATTCGCATGATTTACCTTCCGGCCACCCCCACCCCTTCCTGGCAATAACCCCACAAGACTCAAAGATGCCCGATACGTACAGTT